ATACAGAAAAAAACAAAAACAAAAGAACCCCCTGAACACAAAAATACAAACAGAACATCACCTTAATCAGTAATATAACGCTTCAACATAATAATTTTCAAGTTGTTTTTAAACACAAATAAAGATTTAGAYTGTTTCACCTCATTATCAAACCATTCAGCCTTCACTGAAATACATCTTTCCACCAGCACAGTTCTGAAGTATTCTTTTAAAGATATCAATACCTTTTAAATTATATTCACTTTCCCTTTTAATAAATCTGAGTTGGATATTGTTTGGTAACATTATTTTCTGTGCTTCATACATAAATTTTAAAATATTGTACTCAATCAAATCATGAAGTTTCAGTATATTCAATTGTACAAATACTGGGTTTGTATGATGTCTGTGCTTAGCTCCAATAATAACTCTAACAGCTCTTTTCTGTAAAAGAAAGACTGAGTTTATATGTTTTTCAGGAATTACCCCACACTTCCACACAGTCCATCAGATATGGTACAATCAGTGAGTTATACAAAATATACAAAGCTTTATTCAATCCAATTCAAAACAAATGATTCATTTCATTAAAAATACTAATAAAAATAAACCAAAAAGATATCAAATCTAAATAAAATGAAAGGTAGCAGAAGAAGAATAAATCTTATTATGTCTGCCCCTTTTCGACCCAGAATATATTCAAACGAAACATAATTTACAAAACAATACTAAATAACATAANCAGACCCCTCCCTGACCCACAGACCCCTCCCTGACCCGCAGACCCCTCCCTGACCCACAGACCCCTCCCTGACCCACAGACTCCTCCTCCCTGACCCACAGACCCCTCCCTGACCCACAGACCCCTCCCCGACAAGAACAGCAGGACAGCAAAAGTCACACTTTAGAAACACGCGCAGGGCGCATCCACCTCACCAGTGTGGATGTTATGAACCTTCATGTTTAAAGTCCGTGTTTGTCACACATGGGGTGTGTGCGGGGGAGTGGGGGGATAACAGAGCAGGCAGGAGGAGGAGAGGATGAGGAGAAGAGCGGTGGACTTCTTTCTAATTTTATCTGACTTATTTAATTTTTATTGTTTTTATCGTCCTGCAGGCTCTGAGAGAAAATTAACTTAAAGCTGAGTATTTTTTAAATAAAAATTGTTAGATTACTCTAAAGCAAAATGAGGGAAAATTTATAAATCTGAATTTTGTTTTGGCGTACGCCATTTCCGCCTTTTGGCCGTAYGTTCACTTTTAGTATGGTTTCCACACAATCCTTTATAAATGAGACCCCTGGTCTTCTTTCTGAGCAGTGCTTTCTCCACTCTGTGTGACTGGTTCACATCTGTACGGCTGGATGGTTTTATCTTTAGTTTCATAGTGAAATCTGATTCAGTATCATAGGCGCCACATAATAATAAATCAGATTGTTTGACGTCTTTGACGTTACACAACTGTTTACCTTAACAGTTAAAATTATGATTTAGGACTCTGCTGCTCCATGGCTCCATTTAGCAGGTGGACAATCGTATTTTTAAATATTTTTTATTACAGTTGTGAATAATTTAAATCACAGTTTTAAATAAAACATTATATGAATGAAAACTATGCTAAATACACATTTTTGTTTTTCCCCTTCATTTGACCTTTAATCTTGAAAGAACTTTAATCTCAAAATATTATGATATTAATAATAATAATAATTACGACTTTAATCTCGTAATATTACAACTTTAATCTCATAATATTACAAC